TTTCATTGTCATGACTTAGGGGTGGTGGTAGGCAGAGGCCAAGGATGCTGCTAAACATCTAACTGTGCCAGACAGCCCTCGCAACAAAGAATTATCTGGGCTGAAATGTCAGTAGTGATGGTACTCAAGGTGGGAAAGAAACCTGCATCTAGATCACTCCTGTAGCCCCACAACCACACATACCAATTTCCTAGGTTTATAAGCTTGCTGAGAGAACAAGGTAAACATTTAACTTAAATTTTAACATCGTACATCAATAGCTTTCTGGTGCAAAGTACTTTCAAGTTTGTAACATCAAATGTAAAACAGCTCCATTTGTAATAAAAATAATAATAACCCCTTACATGTATAAGGTACTTTATTAGTATACAAAATAGTTTTATACATATTACCATGTATGATCATCACTTCAATCCTATTAAAGAGTTATAGTTGGCATCAGAACCATTTTATAGAAAGAGAGTTATTTTTATCTATTGAATCTCTTGAAATGGCTTTTCCACTTGTCATAACACCTTAATTATTGAGGAGTCACCAAGAAATCTGCTACCTGTCAAGTATTTCTAGAGGAAATGTTCAGGGAGTGGGATGCTCAGGATGCGCATGTCTCTCCCACTGGGCATGAGTAAACTCACCTGGGAGGGAAATGGTGCTTCAGGGATGGCCTGGGAAGTGCTAATTATATGGCATGCCACAATTGTGCCACACACCTGGTTTATAAAAACTCCTATTTTGAAACACAGCAAAATATTTTAGAAGTGACTGTCTTGAGTTGCCTTTTTTATAGAACCTGAAATACAAGGGGGTTATAATCAGGGAAAATTCCTGACCTCTGATCTACTCTGAATGTGGTGATCCAAACAGCATAAATTGACCATTTAGCAAAGAAAAGATTGGGGATATCAAAGGCTGGGCTGTTATCTAGGATACCTTGGCAAGCTAAAAATATTTAAATAAAAACGTGTCAAGTCTATTAGACACTCAAAGGACCCACTTTGATTCTGGAAATGTCTTAAATACAGACAGTGCTGAGAGATAATCAAGCCAGGGGAGGGGGTTCTGAAGAGTCTGCCAAATGTGAAATGAGTTCTTTCCTTGTTCAGGTCTGGCACAGAGTACATTGCTTTTTTTAAAATTTTATTTTTATTTTATTTTTTTTATTTTGGTATCATTAATCTACAATTACATGAAGAACACTATGTTTACTAGGCTCCCCCCTTCACAAGTCTCCCCCACATACCCCTTCACAGTCACTGTCCACCTGCATAGTAAGATGCTGTAAAATCACTACTTGTCTTCTCTGTGTTGCACAGCCCTCCCGGTGCCCCCCATGCACTATACATGCTAATTGTAATGCCCTCTTTCTTTTTCCCCACTCTTATCCCTCCCTTCCCACCCATCCTCCTCAGTCCCTTTCCCTTTGGTAACTGTTAGTCCTTTCTTGGGTTCTGTGATTCTGCTGCTGTTTTGTTCCTTCAGTTTTCCTTTGCTCTTATACTCCACATATGAGTGAAATCATTTGGTACTTGTCTTTCTCCACCTGGCTTATTTCACTGAGCATAATACCCTCTAGCTCCATCCATGTTGTTGCAAATGGTAGGATTTGTTTTCTTCTTATGGCTGAATAATATTCCATTGTGTATATGTACCACATCTTCTTTATCCATTCATCTACTGATGGACACTTAAGTTGCTTCCATTTCTTGGCTATTGTAAATAGTGCTG